AAACTAAGGACATGTTTAAATAAACTAGTCCAGGTTCATTTGACTGGTCTTTATCTTGCGTGACAAGCTGAGCAACATGAGTAAGGTGACACATTTATGACCGTGATGCAACAGGATTTGACTTCTGGGAGGACACAATCTTCTTATTCACATTACTGTGTGTGTGTGTGTGTGTGTGTGTCTGTCTGTCCTCCCTGACCCACTGTAATCCTGTGGTCTGCACTGTAATCCACACACACACACACACACACACACACACACACACACACACACACACACACACACACGATCCAGGATCAGTCTGTGCCAAGAACAGAAACTCAGGTCTAATGAAAGAGCGTATAATCTACCATGAGCTGTATCTAACTTTTATAATGGCGATAAACACTAAACAAGACCAACAGTTGCAAACCGTAGACTGTACATAAAAGTGTAGGGAGTCACCGCGACGTCAGCCGTTGGCTTGTGGACTACGGTTTAGAAGCCTTAAGTTTGGCATTTCGGCCGGCGCCATCTTGGTTATTTGGAACCAGAAGTGACCACATCTGGACGAGAGGGTGGAGCTGGAGAGGAGTGAGGCCCAGCGGGGCCAGTGCCATTAGCAGCTGGTGCTAGCTAGGTGCATATGTAATTCACATCAACTGTGATATTGATTGGCTAACAGAAAACAGGCTTAAAACTCTTAAGAGTGTCTTTTAGTACAATTGAACTCTGAACAACGCCATGGTGGCGACCTTTCACTTAAAGCTGCTACGTCCTTAATTATGCCCGTCTTCAAGCCTTGATAAATAATTTTAACGGGTGAGTTATATACAAAATTACTACGTGCAGTTTAATGAACGGGGATATTAGAAATAGATAAGAGAACCATTTTTTTTACTAGGCTGTGAACATGTTTAATTCTGCTGCACAGTTGGGCATTTAAACATGAGGGTCTATGGGGATGGACTCTACGCTGGAGCCAGTCTCAAGTGGCTATTTAAGGGACCTCCGTGTTGGCTCTATTTTTAAGACCTAAAGGTTGTTTCTTAATGCAAACACACACACTGAGAGGACGATGTCTTGTAAATACACATTCATGTTTATTACCATTGAGTATTTACATAAGACTATAGATCATTAGACTTTTTTGACATAGACTTTTCATTTAAAACATTCATATATTTTTTTCCCCACAATCCCTTTTTCTTGTCAAAAGAAAAAGTAATTCATATCCAATAGTAACAACTGTACAAAGACAGCCTGGTAGGTACAATAACGCACTTAAAAATTCTCCATTATTTGACTCAATGCAAATCTTGTGACAACAAAAACAACAGCTGGAGAGTTCCCAACATAATATTGTTTTTCTTTTTCCCCCCACAGCGGAGTTGAGTGATCACAAATGACTAGAGCTCGTATGTACATGCACTAAAGTGCTAGTGTTCCAAAGACATGCAAATATTTGACCGATATTTGTACAACTGCCTTCCAAATATGCATAAGGATATTCAGCTTGTTGTCAACCATCTTCTACATGTCTACTGAGCCAAACGTTCATCCCCACCTGAAAATAAATACATCAGCATCAGAAATGACATCATTCGTCTCTGCTTCAGACCCGATGAAGCAGAAGTAGTTTGTTTTTTGTTTTGTTTGTTTGCTCTCCTTGAAACTAAACAGAAAAGTCATGCTTCAAAGGCTGGCAACCAAAACACAGAAGGTTTGCTCTCATTGAAAAAAATAGTTTGAACATGAATTGATGGAGGATAATGTAAAAAAGAAAAATGTAAACAGATGAGCAGAAAAAAATCATGTAAACTTCATACAAATGCAGCAGCTGACCTACAGTTTACACACATGTGGGGTGTTATGAGTAACTCAAGTCTGTGCAGGCACCTCTTATGGAAATGTAGTTTTTAAATCTTTTTTTGATGATATTACAGTACATTCCAGGTTCTTCTAAAAAAGTTCTGGTTCCTCGATGGTCAGCTGGTGCTACTGGGTGGATCCCAACCCCCCCTTCAGGCTCCGTACGATGGGAGTCTCTAGATGTGGGGGGTTTCTGAGGTACTGGGTCTTTTAGGCTGAGGTGGAGGAGGGAGAGAGGAGGTAGAGGACGGCCTCACGCTGGCTCCTCGCCCTCCGAGATGGTCTCCCTGTGTCCCGGCGGCGGGAAGGTGAACTTCCTCTTTGTGCCCTCGCTCCACTTGGGGGAGGAGGAGGGGGAGCGGGAGGCCCAGCGCGAGGGGGGGCGGCGGTTGGCCGGGCGGGCCGGTCTCAGGAAACAGGAGTCCAGGGGTGGAGCCACCGGAGAGCGAGGCAGGTCCTGCCAATGACAAGGAGCTGTCAGTGAGGGGGGGGGGGGAAAGCAACGAGGCGAAATAAACAGGAAGTGAATAGATTTAAACATAAATGTGAAGATGTGTAAATGATGTTATGTAATAATTGAAGGGATTAATCTTCCACTTCAATTAAAGAAGGACTGAATGTGTGAAAAAGAACAATCATTTTCTCAGGCGATGTCTATTGTTTGATTGATTTCTAAATGTCTAGATCAACTAGACCAGCTCAGTTAAAGATGTTAGGTTAATCTAGGTTATAAATATAATATATTGTTGTAAAATGTGTATTCAGGAACTGACTATGAGCTGTACACTGATTATGTTTACATCCCTTCACACAAATACAGAGTAATCAGATGAAGACAATAGCTTGACTAACTACACTGAGGTATTCGCATAATTCTTATCAATTCAGATTTTCTGATATTCTTTTTTTCAATTTCAGACGAAGTAATTGTGTATCATAATATCTCGATATATGACTTCATATTGATACGATTAAATTAAAAGATGCTAAATTATCATTTTGAGTTATCGCCCAGCCCTAACCCCAACCCTTCTATCCACCAAATCAACACTAAATGGTAAGTTCTGAGGCTGCAGTTAGCGGTGGAGTTGTATTTCTAATCTCTTGGTTACCACATGAACTTATATGAGGCACAACATATTAAAGACAGCTTTAAAAGATGTAATGCTGAATATGAAGGGATGAGGAGCAAAGCAACAACTGTGGATGAAACTGAAAAAAACAAAACCAATTTTAAAGCTAAAATATAATGAATCAATAAAATCCACAGCCTCTCAGCGACTCACATTTTAACTCACCATCTGCTCAGGTAATCACGGGGTCAGATACACAGGTGTGATGTGTAATATTCAAATAAAACAATGCCTAGTTACTGCTGACCCTGACATTTACGGTGTCCCTCATTACTGTGACAGTGTTCAGTCACCCACTGATTGGATCTAATGATGCACATCTGGTTTCACTGATTGAGATAATCTGCTTTAAAATCACAAGCAAAACCACATCAAAAAATCCCAACAGGAAGTGTGTTAATACGGTTCAACAAATAAACATAGAAGCCTCTAAACAGTCCCTTATTCAAAGTAACTGAACATTTTACTGGATATAATGTTATGTTGTCAACGGACAGTGTTTAACACGGGACCATCTCCCATCTCCATCATGAGTGAAACGGGGAGAAAGCAGCCCTTTTTCAAAATAAGATCCAGTCGAATAAAACACAAGCACAAACTGCAGCCTCAAAAACGAGTGAAGGACAAACTGTCCTGGTTTATCTCTAAACATGGATGTAGTCTGTTTCGCATCCATTCATGTCACGATGACTGAGCTGCATGACAGATTAATGCAAACACAGGGGTTTATGAATCTGGTTCAAGACTGTGTATGCATATTTCTGCTGAGGCATACACACAGATTAATGGTGAGTAAATTACAGACACTTTTATGCATCTGCCCCCGAGATGAAAACAGTAAAAGTGAGCAAAAAAAAGAGTGCGATAACAAGAGAGAAAAGTGGCTGTGGGCGAGTTTTCTTCCCCCTCGGCAGAAGGATGTCAGAGTGTGATTGGGTGAATGATCACAACCGGGACATCACACCATTGGCCTGATTTATAAATAGCTCATCTCCAGGCATTAGGTTTTGGCTGAAGGATGGGAGACATCGAGTCCACAAAGTAACAATCTAGTTCTGCTAAAAATACACGGCGGTGAGGCTGCGGTGGCACGAGACGATGATGAACGAGATGAATAAAAAGACCCGCCAGAGAGTGATGTGCTACTAAAACTGCAGTTCCGATGAACTGGCGGGAAAACAAGTCACAGAGACGGATGGGCGGCGTCTCCATCAATAAATAATTTGTTTATGATTATAACTGATGAATTGTGTACACACACCGGAAATACAGAGAAGTCGTTTTTTTAATGGGCAGCTTGTGGGTTAAAACAAGGTTTCCTGTGAGATGCTAATACATCAGATCACAGGACACCACAGATCATGCAGCAGTAACGTGAACAGGAAGTCGGAGACAGGAGAGGCTGCTGAAGACAGTAACGTGAACAGCTTCACATCGACTCTGACTTCTCAGTCGATGCTTCGACCATAAAGGAGAAGTCCACCGTAAAACACTTACTGGACACTGTTGAAACCGATAATGTGATTGCTTCTGTGTGTATGTTTGAATTCTTTGTCACTATGGATAATTAGCCAAATGAAGGATTTGCAGCTAAAATATTCTGTCTTTCTTAAAACACCAACATGTTACATTATTTTTGGCCGAAGACAAGAAAGTTAAGTTGTTGTAAGGGAGAAGCACTGCACCTAAAGCACAAAAGCTAAATAAATTCACAACTGAACAAGAGTTAAGCTCTAATGCCCAATTTCATGGCACTAGAATTTGATGGACGATCATAACAGGCCAAGTCCATAAAAACGATGAAAACCAAAACTGCTACATTTCAATATGAACACTCTGATAAACGCTAACACTCAGTTTTTATAGTTGAATATTTTCATTTTGACAATAATAGATGAGGGTGAAGGGGCTTCAATAATACATTTGGCCAATGCATGAGTAAATTAACGGTTTAAAATACTGTTGAACTGAATGTGGTTTTAATACGAGATGTATTTAGTAAAAGATGCGCGTTTACATTCTCTAAGACAGCCACACCATCATTTGTGCGTACGCATCGTCTGAGACACTTCTAATTTGTTCACAGAGTACGAACAAGTAAGAAAAACGGTTTAATCACAGATCACAAATTGTGCAAGCTGTTTGTGAATGAGGCCTATTGTCTGACAAATACAAGAAATAAAAATGAATGAAAATCACTGTTAAATGTCAGGTTTTAGAAACAAAGAGCAGTGTGATCTCATCAAGATGTTTTATTAATTCACCATGTTTAGTGTCACCATGTTTAGTTAAGTAGTTTAGTTACGATATTCAACTCTGCCGACAAAGGATTATTTGACTATTTGCAGGCTAAGGGATAAACTTTCTCTCTCTCCAGGCGTACACAAGTTTCGCAGGCCAGTGTGTGAACAATATAGCGTGCATCACAAGTACATCACAAGGCTTCCCTGGCTTTTTGTTCAGAAAGAGTCTGCAGCATTTTGAACATAAAACATTACCAAATACACATTAACCGTCTTACAATATCCATGTTTTCATATTGTTTGTCTTTCAAGTTTGACTTCCTGAAAGCTTTAACAAATGTTTTTAGCAGCCGACTCTGAACTCTTGCACTTGGACTCATCATCAAGGAGAGAACGGAACTTTTTGCATTTGTTTTTCAAAAGTATTTTTGCATAATGTAGGAAATGACTAACTGAACTACAAGCAGGCGTAAAAATACGCCGACAGGCTGATAACATGTTATATAACAGTGTAGGAGCATCTGATGGTGGATCTTCCCTTTAAGCATGCACAATGAACCAGAGAAAGCAGTTAATATCCACCAGGTGTCAAACACAACCCCAACAGGTGATAGAATGTAGAAAGTGATGAGTGTTAGAAGCAGTCGTCCTCGGTTAATCTTTCGAGGACTCGTTAGTGCGAGAGGAAATGGCTATAGGGGGAACTGTAAGAGGGAAGAGGAAAGAAAGCACTGTATGGACAAAAGGGTGAAAATAGTAAAACATCCCAAGAAAACGTCACAGTCCATCAAGTCGCACAACGTGGTGACAAAAAAGAGGAGCACCTGGTAGAAACACAATGTTAGAATAATCCAGGTTATCACTATTATTATATGCAGGGCCCCCAAAACAACCTGCACCGAGGAATGCGTGAAACGTCCAAAAGAGTCAATTTGTTTTGTGTCAGGTTTTCAGCAGTCAAGACACAATCTGACGACTCTTTGGATCACGTGGACTGAGTTTGCTTTAAAGGACCATAACGGCAGTTTTGCAGGATCCTTCCCGTTAATGTCAAATCACATATAATTATTACCGCCAAACTTTGTTTTTCGTTTCTTCTCTGGGTGGTATGACAATCAACTTGTTGAACCGTGAAAAACTACTTGAGATGCGTACTTCATTACAGGTAATGTTTCAGTTTTTTGTGAATGAAATGTGTCGTCAGAGGAGTGCATCTATGTTCCTCTGCTCAGTATCCTCTTGACTTATTAAGGGCTTGAATTTCAAAGGGTTTTATGTTCCCAGTGTCCTTAATCTCTTACAATGAGGACCCTGGGAACATGGGGATGACTTGTCATCCCACACTAACGCTGTGCAGAGAGCAGGAATTGTTGCACCGATTACTTTTTAAAAGTCTGACCTGCCGATTCAGATTATTGCAGATTTTCAATTTTCTTTCAAAGAATTATCATTGACAGCAAAGCTCCCGACTTTTTTTCCCCACCACCCTAATAAATAATTTAAATCGTCCTAAAGTCAGAAACCGTCAAAAATTCTAAATTTGATCTTTTTACTTTGTTATGGTCATCAAGTGGTTATTTGCATACAATTTTCATACCGTTTTGGCTGAAAATGTTTTTAAATCGAATAATCTCAACATGTATGGTATGACACTAGAAAACAGTAGATGTGATTTATGTGGTTGATGGCATTAAACATGCAAAAAAACACCATTATGGTCCTTTAAAAAACAGATGATCTATAACAAAGAAACTGATCATGCGTGCATTAACACAAAGATACAGATGTATGGCCGTCGCACAACTTTTGACACCACTCCGATGGCTTCACACACTGTCACTCTGCCGTCCTGTGAAGCATGCATTGATGAAGAGGGTGAGGGTGAGGAGGCGGAGGAGGAGGAGGGGTCTGCAGGACGGGAGGTGAGAGGTCCGTGTGGCTGGTGAACCCACCGCATAGAGGAAGAGGAGGAGGAAGAGGAACTTACATCACGGAGACAAGCAGAGTTAGAGTCCCCAAGGAGTTGTTAGTATGACAGTGTGGTTCTGGATCAGAGCACAGCGGACAAGGAGGAGGGGAAGGGAGAGATAAAGCCCAGAGGGGAGGAGAGAGAGGGGGGGGAGATAGAGCGGGAAATGTTAATTGGTAAAATTGGGTAAAGAGGAAGTCTGATAAGTCTAGCATATCAAAGGCAGAGAGGTTTACCAGAAGAAATAAGGTGGCTGATTTCAGTTTGCAGACCACACAGAGAGCTAAACACACACCCATTCACTTTAGACCTGGAAAAAAACACACGTGGGACCTTGATGTAGATACACAGGCCGGGCGGATATTGTTGGAGATAAATAAAAACACGGCTACAAATAAACCAAACACGGGTTGGATGATGTGACGATATACACCGCGATAAAGGTGATAAAGTTACTACCAAGAGAGATCTGTCGTCCACTGTGTTGCTCAAACGTTTAGTCGATTTATCAATCGATCAGAAAATGAATCGAAAATAATCATTTGTCATTTATTTAAGCAAATATGAAAAACATTTGCTGATTTTAGCTTTTCAAATGTAACATTGTGCTGTTTTATTTCTGTTTTATAATGTATCGCCGCATATTTTTACATTTAGTCGAACACAACAAACAACATGATGACTTTGGGAAATTTTGATGGGAAAGTATTTTTTTTGAACAATTAAACTAAAATAATCGCTGCAGCTGTAATTCACCTAAAAGCAACAAGTCTGGTTGTTTCATCTGAGGACAGTTTGAATTTCCAGACAATGTGCTAGCTTGTCTCTGTTTTATATCACTCAGTATCTTTCGGTTACACAAAACAAGGAATTTTGAAGACCTCTACAAGATTGTGATTGTACTTTTTTTTTTTTCCATTGTTTTCTGAGACACAACCAAACTAATGAAGAGTTAAGTGATCATTTATTCACTGGATTATCAAAAAACAGACTGTAAACCTACTTTTCCAGCAAATACACCGTTTTGTGAAACATATAGCTTTGGTTATAGTTCATTTGGTTCATTGGTGGGAATTTTGAATTGTTTGAAAGGGACTTTTGATGACGACATTTTCCTTTCCCCCCACTTATCTGTGTATATTTATCCATTTGAGGCACACACGATACATCCGTATCCAGGTCTATAGTATGATATCAACATATTGAGTGCTAAACTACCGTCGCAATCCATTATTTCCATCCGTCATGCACAGAAGGCATCACTTAGTGAATGACTGCAGAAAACACACACTCCACTATCATCCATAAAATCACATATCAGACTCTAATTTTACTCTTGTCTGTTCTGCAGATCAGTGAGCAGCTTGAGCAGCTTATCATGAACTATCGTTCATGATAGTGAACATATTAATCAGCAGATGTGGGATTGTGTTGCTGTTGTGTTGCATGCTATGGTTTCAAATATACAGCGCGTCTCTTGGTATATTGTTTTAATGTACAGCTTTAATACAGCATGACCTACTTTTCTGAAGTTTTAATCTGTCTTTTGTGGCGTGCTGGTAAATACAGTGGACTGAAAGCATTTTTCTTTATATTTCATCATTTAAACATGACCAGAAAGATGGTTTTCTGTCTGTCATTTATTTTTTTTCCCACAGGTCAGCTGAATGGGTGGTGAAGAGGGCCCGACCGACGTGTCAGCGCACCTGTTCTTGGTTTATTTTGGTATAGGAGAAATCAAATTGCTTCAAAAACTGGAGCCCCATAAAATGCCGGTTGAACATTTAATCTGAGAATTGCAAATAATGATAAATGATGTAACTCTGTAACTGTCATCTCACTCAGATCATTACTGTGAGATCATTCATTTCACTTCCCCAGTTATCCGACACATAAATCAGGTTTCGGTCGGGCCTCAGTGAACGTTAAAGCACAGAAATAAGACAAACTACAAGAAGAAAGTACAGAAGAAGAAGAAACCGTGAAGAGCGTACAGCCATGAAGAAAAGTTCAGTATTTTTGAAGAGGGTCAGATATTTTGACATTACCATTGCATCAGTCAGTGCTTTCCATCTGAGAAAAAAGCAACATTTTAGTGATATTACAGCGTAGTTGTTAAGCTTTTTCTCTGATTAACCACAGATGCCTTAAAGTTTGTCTTCAACCATTACAAGGAAAATCCAAGGCAAAGTCATAAACATTTTTGCGTCATAAAACACGGGCCCCAGATCAAATGAATGAAGCGCTGAATCCAGTGCGTCTGCATATTTACCTCCATACTTCCAGACTGTCCTCTGTCTGAGTCGGCCTGCCTGCTGCTGTCTCTGCTGTGGCTGCTTTGTCCTCCAGCCTGCAGCCGCCGCTCCTCTCTAAAGCTCTGCTCCTGCAACTTCTTGTTAAGGATGCGGGCTGTGTTTTCAGCCAACGTGTAGCCCGGCGGGGCCGACAGGTCCTGCCTTATGCTCACCACCTCTGGGTTTTTGTCCCCCTGCGTCTCCACTATAAGCTGCACGGGGCTTGGCGAGCGCCCGCGAACGATCCGCAAGCACTCGTTCCTGGGGTCCGTGGCGAGAGCCCCGTGGGCAGGGCTGGGATCGGTGGTGGAGGGAGGGGTGGGGTGAGAGCGACTGGGGGACTTGTTGAACTTCTGCATGGAGTCGTAGGCCACGGGGTTGTGGTCGATGATGTTGAAGAGGCTGGAGAGGCCGTCGTTGATGGTGGTATGGACGGGGCTGTCGCGAGTGGTGGTGGAGCGGGCCCACGCCGACTCGTTGTTGGCCTTCTGCGGTGTGGTGGGGGTGGGAGCGCGGTTGGTGTTGGGTACCTCAACCTTGTTGGACGTGGACAGTTTGCGCTGAAGCTTGGGCGAGCCGTACTTTGGCGAGCAACAGGGTCGCTCAAACTTACTCTGTACGACAGGAGAGTACTGAACCTTTCTCAGGCTGCGCGACGGGGAAGAAATAGGCGTCCCGCCACCTTTCGGGGTGAGGCAGCGGTGGGGGCTGCTGGTCAGGTTCCTCAACAGGTCCGTTTGTAGACCCACACTGATGGTCTGAGTGGTCTGAGTGCCTCGCGTGGTCAATCCGTTGGTCTGGCAGGCGGTGTCCCTAACGACGGGCCCTGGCGGTGAACGGATGGCGTTCCTCACAGAGATGGCCACCTCCTTCATGTCGTCACTCATGTTCCTGGAGAGCTGAAGCTCCAGAGAGGAGGTGAAGCCCACAGTGGGGCAGATAGGAGACTGGCTAGGAGAAGTCCTCAACGCCCCACCGTCCAGGAGCCCACATGCCCACCTCCCACTGCTGAACACCTCATCTGACCCGCTGGCTCTCACCCCAGCCTCTCCTCCGCCCCTGGCTTTGGTCCCTTTGGCGTACAGGAAGTCTGGGTCTTGCGCAGTAGGGCGCTCAGTTGCCCCAGGTCTGGTGGGGCTGTGGAGCATGTGGACCCCATAGTGGTCCACTCCCACCCCTGCTGCCCCCGCTCCGTTGCCCCTCAGCGGGGACTTGTGGCAGTGCTCGGGGCTGCTCAGGGTGCTGGTGGTCAGGGTGGCGCTGGTGGTGAGGAACCAGGAGGCAGGCTGGAATGGTTCAAGAAGGAGCTCCCCTCCCCGGGCCTCGGGGGGTTTGTCTGTCCACACTTCCAGGGCAGGATCCCGGCCAGAGGTGGATGCTGGAAAGTCCCAGCCCTTATTGTTGAACTCCTCAATGTACTTGAGGTCGTCCGGGGACAGAGGCGGGGTGACGTCGTCTTGGTCCAGATCACCGTGGCGAGTCTTGTCGGGGAGGAACGGCGAGCTGTCCATTAACCGCTGGAAGTCGCTCATGGAGCACACAGACTTGGCTCTGGACAGGACACAGTTCAGACACAGTTCACTAACACTGAAACCAAACATCACAACCCAATCATGATCTCATATCCTTTAGAATTCCCACTACTGACAGTCAATCCTAAATATGCGTTTATTTTGAAAAGCAACTTAATGCTTTTAAATGTTTTAAAAATGTCAAAATTATTTAACAGGACTGTGAGCTGGATTTATTCCTCGCCATAACATAAACCTTCTCAGGCAAACTCCCTGTTACTTCAAGTAACAGTTAATAGAATCAATATCCAATCTCTCCAGGGATTGATGTGTATGTATGAGCAACAGAAATTCTGCAGGAGGCTGAATAATCAGTCAGACCAGTTCTTGGTGACGTATTTACCGTTGACATCTATTAAAATGCAGCAGAATAAATTTTACGGAATAGTTTACCCATTAAAACACTCTTTGAACTCAGTTTGACTTGAAGCTTTTTCATGAGGTTACCTGAGCAGACTCCCACCGCCCATCTCGTCATCTGGGCTCGCAAGATCTACTTCTCTCTCCGAAATCTCATTCAGGGCCTGAAGCAAAACAGATACAACAGTTAAATCATGTGGAAAAGTCTTCAGTGTAGGACGATGTATAGGCACTAACGTCAGGGGGAAAAAAACAAACAATGACTAAAACACAACTAAAACAAATTTTGAAAGCGTTCTGGCACCATTTTAGCACCACTATCATTTCATTGAGTGGTTTGAAATCTGGCTGCTGCTAATGAAATAGTCTTGCCTGTTCTGGACCAATTAATTAACCATTTCATCTTTAATCACAAAATAGAGAAAAATGGCCATTTTGTCATTTATATTATGGCTTAAGAACAATACATAACTTCCCAAATGTCCGTGCTGCACTTCATATCTCTGCCACTTTGGTGCAAATTGATTTTATGTGTTAAAGCACTACATCAGTAAAGGTGACTTGACGTGACTTGACTGGTGTATGTTACCTCCTTCATGCAGGGGAACCTCTTCTCACTATCCAGTCTTGAGGGTGAAGGGACCTCCAGGCCGCTGAGGGGGTCCAGAGACAGCGCGTCCAGGAACAGGTTCTCCGTGGGGCCTTTCAGCCTCATCGCAGCCCCTTGCTCCTCCAGCATGACTTCAGAGTCAGAGTGGGAGCGCATGGGAGGAGCAGCAGGGACGGGTGTGGACGTACAGGGGGAGCGTGGGGAGCGCGGCGACCGGGGGGCGTTGCAGGGACTGTCCTGAGGAAAGAACACACCTCTATGGTCCGAGCCACCTTCTATGACGTCGATGCCCTCACCCCACCGGGTGTTCAGCTCTCTCTGCATCTGCACAAAGAATGACACACACAGATATCAGGTTTTTTCAATGGAGTCTGGTGACTTTAAAGAGGGAATAGTCAATAGCCTCAGTTCTCCGTTGGAAAGGGCTGTCCGATGGGAAGGTAAAGAGGTGAAAATATTTTAATATAGCGTACACTTAAACTGAAACTTTTTTTTGGGTGAACCTCTCTATCAGTTGTCTAAATTACATTTTTCTGCTTCCCCGGTCCATAGATGTGTTGCTCCCGTGATGGTACTCCTGTCTGTTTTTAGCTAAACTGGGGGCGTTACTGTTGCTAAACTGTAAAACATTACAGCCTGACTGATACTGGATTTACTAGGCAAATACTAATATTGATATTTAAGAGTTAAGCACAACTCGGATAACAATATATCAATCAATAATCCTCTTTTACTTAAACGCACAACATAAACAAACATTTTGATATGGATCCCTTCATCTTAATCTTTGGCATTTCTGCACTGACATTTATTGTTATTTATTGGTGCGCCAGTACAAATATAGAACAATAACTCCATAAATATTCCTGGTCGAGGGGATGTATTACCCTTGTAAGGTCCTTCACATTTACATTATTCTTAATTTATGCAGTGGCAGGCTTTCTTCACATATGAACACCTTGCTTTCCTTTAACATAAGAAACTGTGAGCTACTGAGTAATCCTCCTGCAACATTCGGGCTTTAGTGCCTTGCTTCATGCTCGAGGTTTAAGAAGAACAACTACATCACTCGTTGACTTTCACCCTGCCAGTCTGAGCAGTTCAGTTGGTGACCTGTGCTTTATAGTCAGAATACGCATCGCTGAATAATGCATCTACTTCCTGCTCTGTGTCTCTATATTCAATCAGTATCAGCAGTTTTACTATCTGTTTTCAGAGTAATTATTCCAGCCACTGCTTTATATGTTAATATTCTCACACTCGCATCATATTAACCAGCTCATGTTCCTGTTTCCTGCCCTTTACATGACACACAAGCGAGGTGAGACGCTGCAGTTCTTCTAACTAAATTAATAGAGAGCATCAATTATTCAGTAATCCTGAGTATTTATTAAATCTACCCTTGACTGGAGGTAAGCAAGAAATATGTTCTTTGGATGAACCTCTCCTCTTGTTTGAAGGCTCAAAAATTTTTCACCCCGTCATTCTTCTACTATAACTCTTCTTTTCTCTTTCCACCTCATCCTGTCTCTCACCCTCTCCATCTTGCGTTGGAGCTCCCTCATGCCGCCGTCCCACTCCTGCCTTTCCCGGTCGAAGCGCTCCAGCAGTTCTCCCCTCTCGCGGCTCCACATCTTCTCTCCGTGCTGCAGCTTCCAGCGGAGGTCCAGGGAGGTGCTGTGGCTGTCGGCCAGCAGACGCCGGTGCTCCTCGCGCTCCAGCTTCAAGGGCCACTTGGGTTCTTCGGCCGGTTCCCCTTCACCTCCCTGAGCTTCGCCTCGCACCTTGCCCTGTGCCTCCTCCTCCAGCTGGTCAAAGAGCAAAGACACAGGGATGTTGGGTTGATTAGTCATTATTAAGACAATTATTATGCTGCACAGTATACAAAGAAAAAATAAATCAACACAGGGCATCAATTATTCAGTAATCGTGAGTACAACTCCGCTCTGAAGATGGACCATAGTGGGTAGAGGAATTACTATGTTTGGCGTGATGACGTTTAAAGTCCCCGACAGCCGCTGTCGTCTCATTTACCCACTTGTTAACAACCTCCTTTTTAAGACACAAAAAAGCTTAAAAATGAATTTAAGGGATATTTACTGACGTATTTTATGTCGTAGAACAAAACGTTAAACTCTCCTATGGTTGTGTTCACCACAGACCTTATTTCAAGCATCAAACCAAAAGCCCAGCCAAAAAAAACCCATTAACTTCAAGAGGAGCGAACAGGAAATGCAAAAACGCTGATTCATCTCTGGGTTTTAGGACTAATTTCTGCAACACTCTATGTGCAAACGGATCTGTTACTGAAATTGGACATTCTGTTACCTGAAGCAACACATCCCTACCTACGAGGACCCCTGCATTGTTTTAATGCAGGGCTGTTTTCAGTGTGAACACCCGCTAATACAGTGCATATAAACCACTGAACGTAAATCCCTCCTATTCACAAAGCAACACAATGAGATTAGGAAAAGGTAAAATTACTAGTAGTTGTTTTGTAGCCGACAGAGACACACAGTACAAACGTGAGTGATGGCTGCCCTCCCGAATTTATATTTCAAACCACTCCCTGGTGGAAGGACATGAACCGAGGATTCAGACGAACGGCAGAAATCTTCAAAGCTTGCAGAGCGACTGAGGGAAGCTACAACAGAGCTTTGTAATCTTCAGACGGGCTTTGATCCCTCAACATAGTGGTACAAACCAGAGTCTGCAGCACTGGACCTATGTGAAGAGCAAGTCAAGGCTGCCTTGAAACCTCAGCTTACATAACTCCCATTCAAATGTTTGTCTTGTCTACGTTTACACTGGGTTTGAGAACTGTCTGGTTACATACATGAGAGGAGAATGTGCAGTAAGAGCTGCTGACTGAATGCTAAGAGCCAAGATGCTAGACATTATAAATATAGCCGGACATTCAGAAGGCTTGAGACTAGAGAATGAAACATGAGCCAGCCTGATATTAATACCTCAAAAATGAATCCACATCTAAAGACGCAGGTGAGGGTAATTTCCAATTCTGCTCTGCTCTACTGGGCTGCGTAATAATCCTGACTACAAACCAGGGGTTTAGGGGCATATTTCAGAAGTCTTAATCAGGACGAAGCACAGTGGAGCAAGAGAAGAACTCAACAAGGTGTTATCAGAGGAAACTAAGTAAGTAAATTAGTTCTCGTATGCCCTCGGTGACCGCTGCTCTGTGGAAGGATACGAGCCGTGTAAAAGATGATGAGATTAATAGCATGAGAGTTAAAAAGATAATCCTCTCCCCTTTAAATCAATTGCTTAATTCGTTCCTCAAGTTGCAGTTCATTTTTTTATCAGACATAGCTGGGAGAAGACACTACTCTGCCACTGTCGGTCTCAGATTTTATCTTCCAATACATGTGGTCAAGAAACAACATGTTCAATGTCCTTTAAATTGATTACAAGCGTTGCTTTTTCCACATTGTTGGCCACCTGTCCTGATCGTGCTCCGCCCAAAGGGAAAGAAAATCTCGAGATGGAGTCAGACACAGCAGACAATGAGGCTCCGACTGCACCGCAAAACATCATGAGTAAATCCCTCTGGGCCACACTGTTGTACCTTTCCTTCAGTTCTTCCACTCAAAACTTAGTATTGATCTTTTTGTCTACCATGAAATTCAAACACATTCTCTTAGTTGTCTTTGGATTTAGATTTCTTTCGTTGATTAGTCATTTTTGAATGATTTTTTCATACTGAATGACTTATTTCCAAGAATTTTGATATTTTCCGGGTGCTCCGCTCTCCTTAAGGCCATTCGATTTCATAGAGAACCTAGTGAGGCGAGCACTATATACATTTCATATGGTTTTTGGGTGAACTCTTCCTTTAAGTACAGTACTTGAGTAAATTTACTTTGTTACTTTCCACCATTGTCGTCTAGTCTTGATGGCCAATGCCAATAACATGAGGTTGGTCCTGACAACAACTACATACATTAAAAATAGTCTATGTCTTCACATCTAAAGCCACTAAATGTTGGTGTAGCATTTTAATATTTCCCACGTTGGTTTCCCCAAATGTGGGATTGGCTCATTTCTCTGCAAACAGGCAGAGTACTTCGTAATGTGAGCAGGGTTATTCAACTGTTTACCTTGCAATAGTCGCCACCAAAGACAAAAAAACAATTGTCAAGTGAGAACTTTCAAGAGTTGTAAAGTCCTGTTTTGTGGTGTTTATGCATCTGATAAATCCTCAGACTCATGGATGCGTTTCTCAAACTGCTGTATTTCATCATCTCAGCCCCCTGTGTTTATAGTGTGCTGGTTTTGGACTTTTCATTCTATCTTTTTTTTTTATCATTTCTTGTCATTGTATAAGACCGGGTTGCACACACAATGCAGCCGTATTCCCTTAATGCAACACAAGAAAAACAAAAAACAAAACAAAATCAGTTGTGCACTCCTGTAGTGCATTTTTTGAATTTGTATAAAGAGGAAAGTACAAACAAAAACACATCTGCACAGATAATATAGCCACAACAAAAAATATTTGGAGAAAAAACAGGTTGGAGGCCTTATACTATAACTGTGAATTTAAACATTTTTGACATTGACCTAATTACCTCTGAACTCCGTACGAAATAAGCGATATCAGCTAGCCATGTTCTCTTATCTGGTTTAAATCAATATACTCTGATCCTAATCTACAAAGTATTCAAACTTCCATTAGGAATATAAGAGAGTGCTTTAAGCCGCTTTGAGTTCACTTAGAAGTGCCGGATGAATGCTTCAGTTTCCACAGTGACAGACTCATTAGTGCCAAGCAGGCAATTCATCATATTCTCATCTTATTGGAAGCTGTCCTTCCTGTTTCAATTTAATTGTTGAGGGGTGATTATGAATTGTATTTTGTCCATTTGTTTGTCACTTGGGATATGGATCAAGGCCCAACTTAATTCCATTGCTGTACTCCCAAAATGACAGGGATCGGCCTTTAGGGGAAGTTAAAAAAACAATAAAAAGATTTGGTTTTTTTCTCCTTATCACGGCTTTGCCCTGAGTGGGATTTCATCCATGGAGAAGGCAACATGTTTACTGTCACCTTGCTGCTTATTGAATGCACCGCTAGTTTTCTATCCCCTTAAGGTGGGCGCTGAGACGCCATCTGTACCTGGGCTAACTGGCACTTCATCTCTGCCCACTTGACCTCCCAGGCGGCTTTGTCATTGGCGTAGGACTGCTGCAGTTGGCATCGCCGTGACTCCTCCTCCTGCAGCTCCATTTGAAACTCCTCCAGCAGCGTCCGCAGGGCCTGCAGCACTTGCCGGTTCTCCCCAAACTGTACGAAGCGGATCGAGACAAAACAATCATTTAGGAAAGGTTAATCCAACACACTCAGACACACACATGGACATGGCAAGTTCAGCAAGTTCTGTCCTTATCTCGATGGGCTTGTCTCTTGTTTGTATCTGACCTTTGTTTGTCTGTAAAGCTCTTTGGGACAAACCTGCTTTGTGAGTGCTTTATAAATCAATTTCACTTGAACTTCTCCATCCGGTTTCCCATCTGTCTCCTGCTCCTCTTCTTCTTTTATCCCTGTCCTTTCCCATCCTACCTTGACAATTAAACACTAAAACCTGTACACACAGTTGGGTGTAGATATAAAATCCTACGTTCAAAAATCCTAACTTGAAATTAAGTGAAATCCCTCTGAGTAGTGCAGTAATTAAAGCTGTGAAAACAAAAACCTCTTTGAAGACCAAGTATTTATTTTAGTCCATTTTCGATGCAGAGGGTTTGAGACAGTGAAGAGCATGTTTTTCCTGCTCAGAGAGCTGTTTGCCTCTGGTGGTCCTGCTGTGGAGACTCCTCAGGTCTTGGCAGGAGGCAGTGAAGCACAAAGGAGTCTGTGAGTAAAACATCACCTCGAGGTTTCACTACAGCGCCGCCGGCTCTGCCAGCCTGGGCTGTGAACACGATATCAGCTCAGGTGCTAAAAGGCCAGTGCACTTCAGTCCAGTATAACCAGGAAAAAAAGGGGGCCTCACATGAGCAACTTTCCATAAGAGCATAAATGACAACCTTCCTTTTGTGTATCTAAATATGCATCTTGTAAATAATCACAGTTAGGTTTACATTCAGCGTTTTTCACCAAAGCACAGTTATGTGTATCCATGAGGTCTGACAAATGTGTCCAACGCTTTTCCTTCTTCAAATCATTATATGATTATATATAAATATATATATTTTTCTACAAAAAAATAAATAATGCCATCAGAAGATGCTATAATCCCATTTTTGTATCTTCCCCTCCTGGGATTTTCCCCCTCTGCAGCAGCCGTCAGCACCCAGGAGCTTTGGCAAGATGCAGTGACACGGGTACTTTTCAATAATTCACATGCACGTCTTTTGATGTGGGAGGGAGCCAGACTACAAGGAGAAAACTCACCTCCATGTGTTTGCTGCGACACAGAAAGGGCCCAGTCCCTCTTGCAGTGAGGTGACAGTGCCTACCAGTGTGCTGGCCGGCTAAATAAAAATCCCTGCCCAATTAAATTTTGTTCCAGGTATTTCAAGCTGATTTGAGAACTATTATGTCACAGTAAGGTTTAACAGTATCATACATCGGCAGCACCAGAGGGAATGAATCAGGATTTTTTCCCTCACCAAGCCGCCAAACTGCCTGTCCAAGTCTTCAGTGAAAACTTTCAACGACCTCTCTACGGCTTAACGCACTATTATCTCACCCTGGCTGCAGGACTGATCGTCTGCTCTGCCGTAGTGTGCAAATGATTACTAAAGCAAGGCGGCATTTCTGCTCCCATGGACGAAGCTTAATATATTCTACCGGGCGTGCTGATTGAAACTGAAGAAAAAAAAATCTCACAAAGTAAAGCAAGAACGTCAGATCACCGAACAAAACATTTTTATGATGTGGAAAAAAAATCAAAACACAGCAAAGTAGAGCACTTAGGCCTTCTTAATAATACATCCACCCCCAAATACTTATGTACATTCTTTAGTCTTACAGCGGACATACTGATCTCAACACACGCTACGTCAGAGTGAAACCTTCGGCGGTATGAAGAACAGAAGCTCCTTTTGTCTTCTTTGCATTTAACTGATGAGTGTCCATGTTTTTGTGTCCTCAAAAGTAATTGCTGCCTCTAACTAGTTATCTCGGCCAAATTTCTCATCTGCATACCATGCCAAACTGCTCTAATAAGCGGCTGCCAAACATGCATTTGAAACAATGAACGAGAGAAATGTAAAAGCTCAACACACACACAGAGTTACTACGATAAAAATTAACATTTGTTTTTACAAACACTTGAAATGATGAAAGCACTTGCAAATGACCAGGTAGTACAACATGTAAACCATACTATTTCTTTGTACTACAACTTTACAGTTATAGTGTTCATTATATGTATGTTTTTATGCGAGTATATATACTATATGTAACTGTATACTATCTTTATTTAGTATAGGATTCTCCCTTGCTACAATTACTGAAGTGTTTCTATTGTATTTTACTTATTTTGTTTTTCTTCTTCAATATTTTTGTATTAATTAACATTTCTATGTGTGTAGCATGGACGGGCTACATTAAATGAATCTACTGTGAAAAATAAAGGTGAATAAGTAAGGACTCTGGCATGGACTAATGCACATGCTTAGGAATTCATCTGTATAGTTATAATTCATACAACACAAACTTATAAAACAAAGAATATGTTGTTTCCAAAGCATGATGAAACAAAATTAGTTTGACAGAGCAGCGAAAGCTAAATAATGTGCTGATTTTAAGCTGTGTGTAGGTTTTTGAAAACGCTATGGACCCTCTTGTCTCCGCTGTATTTAATTTTTCACCATAGGCCCAGGTAAATCTGTTTGAAAGCTTCTAGATCACAACATGGCTGATGAACTGAAAACTTGACTCTTGTTAAATAATGCTATGTTCAGAAAGTTGAGTCACTGAAATTGCAAATTTTCATAATTTTGTCTTAATAAAATGAATCCCAAAAACCAGCGGAGGAGTTGTAAACGTGAGTACCTGTCTTTGATGCTGCAGGTGTCGATCAGGCGACGGCAGAGGGATGATGGGCCCGGGGTTGGGGACGTTCCCTGGAGACTGTGGTAAACACGGTCTGTCGTCTCGATCCGACTCACCCTCCGCCTGCTCCGTTATCACTCCCAGCTCTGGGATGCCCTCCAACTTCTCAAACTGGAACAGATGATACGGCCATGAAAAGCCTGTGTTTTAAATCACGCACTAATTTATTCTGTACCAACACATTCTGTTTCAGGCTCACAGTCGCTGAGCTTATCCCAGCATGCAATGGGGCAGAAGGCAGAGAAACGCCTAATTTTCCTCATTTGTCGAATGCTCAGTACTTCCCAATCGCATGCATCTTCGCAAACAACCTTATCATTTAAAATACTTCGGACTTGCGCGTCAATGCAAGTGTTTATGCAGAGGCGCTTTAAGTAGAAGTGAAGATGCACACGTTTGGGAAGTAGTGAGCATACCACTGGATAAATTAGAATGGGATTATACTGCACAAGTTGTTAAACGCGTTTTTTTTTTTTTTTTACGTTTTTCCGATTCTTCGTTCAACATGGAAGCATGCAAGAAAAAAAAAAAGTTTTCTTCGAGAATTCAAGGTAACACGGGGTGATATACAAATGGTGATTTTGTGGGTGAAGCAATCCTTTAAGGGCTTTAAAAATAAACCTGACTTGAGAAAATGTTCTGTTGGGATTCAATGTCAAGTCAAGGGCGGGTGGTAAACTTCCCGCAAGGTACACATGGGCTGCACACTGCTGCACCATCTGTAGACTCAAATTAGGTTTCACAAGATGCTGCATGAATACACTGATGTCAACAGAAAATTCAGGAGAAAAGACTTCCCGGTAAAGAGCCAAACAGCTCTGTGGTCTCTGGGGAGGTGCAGTGCAGAGCTATGAATTTGTATCATGTGATCTTTCCCGAAAAACAAAACAAAACCAGCAAAACGTGAATGTCACAAATCAGCCGTTAGTACAAGAAGATAAGATGAAAAAGTGAAACATCGACCAATGAATCAACAAGCTGAATAACAAATGGAGTCGCTCAATCAGCCGGGCGACCAATTAAGCAGACTATCAATCATGCCGACCTGCTCCCTGGTGGGAAGTATTGACCTGAACGGGGTTCAGGAAGAGTCGCTTTGTTGCCATCTCATTCCTAGTGATCGACTCAGCACACAACCACTGGTTGATTGCTCTTGAAACGTTTTATTATTTTTATTTTTATTTTTATGTACTTCTAATTATTTCTGTCCTTGTGCTGCTGAAATACCTGAATTCCCCCTCTGGCAATCAATATCAATCCTTGGAAAAGGATTTTTAAATCTTAGGACTATTCTCCAAAAAAAAGGTTAAATAAAACAAAAATACATTCAGTATGTACAAATACTGTACATTTACAACTGATTTCTCCTTATTGAAATGCCTTTACGTTTCAACATGATGTCTCCTTCGAACGGTTCATGTATAAATGTTTTGTTACAATATTTGTACGTATAAAACAACTTCACAAAATCATACAGGTAGACAGGTAGAGCAATGTATGAGTGCTGGGAGATATTTGAAAAACCTCAATGTGCCTCCGACGTATTAAACCCCTGACTCACCTCCGGGTTCGCCGTCTCCTCTTCGGAGTCGTCCTTGCGGCCGAGCCTCCAGTGCATGAGGATCCACCTGAGCTTCATGTAGAAGATGATGTTGTTGCGTCTGAAGAGGCGAACCTCCTGTTGCAGCAGGGCTCTCTCCTGAGGCCAGGGCACCTCATGGGTCTGAAGTCCCTGCAACTCCAGACCTGCACGCTGGGCCTCCAGACGCAGTCGCTCGTCTTCCTGCTGTGGAAGGGACCGGAGGAAAGACGAGCTTCACATTGACAGTAAAAGGGTTCATTCCAAAACCGTCATACTCAAATAATAATGGTTAGTGAGTAAGTGAGGATATGCAAACTCATGCAATGCTTCAGTAGGTCTATTGGTTAAATAATAAATATATCTTGTGATAATTTATGGCCAGAAATTTGTATATATATATAGATATATATATATATATAGGCCTAAATATATCCAAATTGCTTTTTTGTCCAACCAACGGTAAAAAAAACAAAACCCAAAGACGTTCTGTTTAATTTCAGAATATTAAGAAAACTAGGACATTTCTATGATTGCTTTATGATTTTGTGTGCTTAAAATGCCAAAACGTTTAGATGTTAAATCATAGACCCAGACTTCTACGTACCATTTCTTTTATTTTTTTCAACTTTTCATCTTTGATTAAAAGGATAACGTTGTACAAAAAAGGGGCTTAGTGTAAATTGCATGCGACATAATGGAGACAGCTCAACATCCATCAAAGTCTAAAACAAAATTCAGTTATGGATATTAAAGCAAAACTTTCTTTCCTCTCCAGTGGTGACACATAATTAATATCATGTTGAAACTCCAGCAACGATAGCGGAACAAATGAAGTGTGATGCTGGTGCTCTTACGCTCACACATTGTGTGACTGACGGCATTACTGTACCTGAGGAAGAGGAACGACAGCCTCTTGCTCCTCCGTCGCTGCTCTCAGACTTCGCTCGTGATCCAGACGAAATTGGATGTCAGCAGCAGGCGTGTCCCGGAGCTGAACCCACAACAGCACAGCACACAGTTACTTTAAAAACACTTTGCTTAAATGACATCACATGTTGATATCTCACTATTGTTCTGTTTGTCTCTCGGTAAAGCTGTATTTGATAGTCGAACAAAATCACACGGTTTTGTGTATGAGATGATTACGCTTGATTGTATTTGTGCTCTACGATTTCCACTGCGAATCTAAAACTCACTGAGCAGCACTGAAAAGCCTCAAATGAGGTCTGACTTTCACACAAGAGGAATCCCATTACACCTTCTTCTACAACGTCTCAGGAAGTGATTATAATTTAATGCTGCATATTTTTTGATCTGGACTTAATATTTCTTCATCTAGCAACTTCAAAGCTTTTTGATAAAACCTCAAACGAAAGCATATAAAATCTCAAGGGAGTCGTTTGACATTTTTAGAAAGAGAAGATCTATATCACTCATGTGTCTCCACTAAATATGAAGCTACAACTAGCAGGCAGTTGGCTTAGCTAAGCAGCATATACATGAAACTGGCTCTCTCCAAAAGTAACAAAAATCTGAATACCAGCACCTCTAAAGTAAAAATGACTTCCTGGAGTTTGGACGTCACTATGAAGTTCTCAGGCAAAAGGTGGAGATTCCAGGAAGTCACACAAAGGAAATAGTTTGGCACAAAACCCCCTCTGAGACTGCAACTCCTCTCTTTTCACTTTACTATTTGTTGTACGGATTAAACAAACAAGATATAACTTATTGAGCCTTCAGACAGAGCCAGGCTAGCAGTTTCATCCTGTTTCCAGTCTTTATGCTAAGCTAAGCTAACCGACTGCTGGCTGTAACTTCATATTGTCTGTGTCAGAGTGGTATCGATCTTCTCATCTAACGCTCAGCAAGAAAGCAAATAAGTGTATTTCTCAAAACTATGTCTAACTCATTAGCGTCCTTTTCTTGAATTATCAAAAGTTTACTTTAATGAATAGAATACTGATTATAAACTGTGATAAACAAAATGACTGAATAAATACTGTATATTTAAACAGCGAACGTACTCAACTAGAGCTGCACGACACCAACAACACATCTAAAGAGCTCAATGTCGCTCAAAAGCAAAGCTTCCTCGAGATCATGATTTCTATCAACGCTACTAAACCTTGTGACAGGCATTATTTCCAAGAAATGCACTTTAGGATTTTCCTACAGGTGAATAAATGCTCATAGGGAAATGGGATGCTTATGTTTATGGCTTTGAATGTAATGATTCTTCAACTCCTTTACAAGACTTCCCTGTCTGTCCTCCTAAACAGTGCAGACTTTGACGATTTGGAAATTGCAGCGTTTTTTTTAATGCGATTTCCTTCTTCCATCCGATCGGGCGTTGACTGTACCCTCCAACAGTAAGTTGAGCTGTTCAGTGAGTACTGACCCTGGATCACCTCCCTGTCAGCCCAATGTCAAATGCAAATCACACAGGCCTACAGTGCAGAGCTAATCCTGCCATATTTGAGCCGCTTTCACATTCATTCATTTCACCTCACAGATTACACTGCGGCAGAAAGCACAGGGACACAAAGAGATATCCACACAGATGTGCAAGAACTGTAACTGTTACAGTAACGTGTCACATCACCGCTGCCAGAACTCATTACATAACAGCGGGCAATGTTTTCTATGAACACAAGCATGAGGCAGCGATTATGAATCACAGTGTCCAGCCGGTTTATTAAAGAGTCGAGTCACTGAAGGGTTTAACAGATCTGTGCTGCAGTAACGTTACTACTTGCCTCCATGATTGTGTGTGATTAAAGTGTATTGTGACACTTCTGTGTAAATTGCACTTTCACATCCATTTAATCTGCTGAGTCGAGTCATGGCGGTGCAGCCGGTAGTGATGAAGCGCTGCCAGAGGGCTTTCGCGACAGAGTGCAGACTCAGCCGTGATACACTGAGTGCATACATACGCCTAACAAGTCGATATACTGTAGCTGTCTTACACTGCTTTAGAGGATAACAAACTGTCCACCAGCAGATATATGTTTTATAGCACAACATGCAATCGAAACACTTGGTGCAGGAAATGCGCTAGAATTTAAGGAACGCCTCGTAACTCTGAAGTTCTACGTATGCAATCTACTTTCTACTCGTTTCTTTGAAATCATTAAAAAAAAAAATGTCCAGGGGAACATGGTGTGGATTTAGAATTTTAAATCAAAAGATTATAAAATGAATAAATAAAGATCAGTGGCTGTGGGAGTGGATATTTAGAGTGAATGAAGTGAAATCGTGTTCAGCATTAAAAAAATGGCCGTGGCTGGAGTGTCACTAGACATGCTGGACTGAGCGGCCTTCTGATCGTAACCAACCAAATTCAAAATCAGCCAAATTTATAGTTCATCGTGCTCAGAGGCACTTTGTATATTTTGGTAGAGATGTGAGAAGGCTCCTTATGGGACAAACAATATCTGAATAATTGACTTTAACTGTATATACATAGAAGTATTGGAGATAAACTTGTTAAACTTTGAAAATCATTTTCAGGTTTTAATCTGTTAAGTCAAACTCCTCAGAACTGACCAGCATCTGTAAATGCTATAAACTGCTTCACTGTAGGGCAAGTTAAGTCTTTCTTACCATGGTGCACTGCTTCTCAGGCCAGCAGATATTCCAAAAACAAACCCCCAAATAATATATTTTCAGTATAATGACCCTTTTTCTGTACCAACATTTTCATTTTAGGTGTGTCCATAATGTGACAACTTTCAAAATGCATTTTGTAAAAGCATGATTAGATTATTTCCATTCATATATTTGCCTGTATGAAACTTTTAATTCAATTAAAAATGACACGGTTTTGGGGGCGTCTACAGGCTCTGCAGAGCTGTATTTCACAACATTTCCCCATTGGAAAGAAAGGACTTGTCGCTCCACAGAGAAGAAACCAAACCAGATTTGTGTTTGAATCAACATAAATTATTAGAAAATCAAGTTCAGGTTGACAGAAGGCCCGTGTACGGGGATTATAGTGTGGAGCCAGTGTCAACTCAGTCCCACAGGTGTAAAGGGAGATGGAGGAGGGAGGAGGCACTGACCTCTGCTCTTAAAGCCAGGGGCCTGTGGTACCTAGTGAGTCCCGTGGCTCCCCTGCTCTGGGCCTGGCCCCAACCCTGGCTCTGGGGCTCCACGCCTTGCTCCTGTCCTAGACGCCACTCCAGCTCATCCCTCTGACCGGACTGTGAGTGACGTGGGGTGGGGGAGGGGAGGGGAGGGGAGGGGAGGGAAGGGACGGGGAGGGAAGGGAAGGGGGTTGTGGACGGTGGGTGTGAGGGGTTAGGGGGATGGGGGACAGGTGCAGGATAGTGGTGGTGGTATTGGGGGAGATGTGTGAGGTGGATTGTGGACAAAACAGAGAGAAGACAACAAACGGAGTAAGAGGATGAGCGGGAAAAGAGCGGGCGGGGAAAATAAACAAAAACAAAACAGAAAATGGGTAAAGAATATAAACTGAAGGGGGAAAATGAACAGACTACACGATGTGGAGAAGAACAAACGGACTAGAGTACGAAGAAAAGCGCAAAGAGAAGGACCAACTTAAAGATGACGGCGTATGAGAGAGATGAGAAGAGAACGAGAATGAGGATGAACAAAATCATGGGCTGAAATATCTGGCGGGAACACAAGAGGAACAAAGAGAGGGAATCGGGGGGGAAAAGAATGCAAAACACTTGTTATGAAGCGCATGCAATGAGGGATACATGAGTCCAAACCAACAGCTGAGAGATACCACAACAAACTGCAGAGCGAGAGCTAGCACGCTAAAGGTTTCCAACACATGCCTGTGCACAGCCGTGTGTGTTGTAGAAGCAGTCAGCTAAGGAAAGTTGCATCTTGAGCCTGTATGATGCACATTGTTTACAGACAATACAGCATTTAAAATACACTGGAGGCATTTGAGGCTTCAGTCAAGGATTAAGACAGGGCCATGGTTATATGACTGTGAGTGAGGATTCTTCCGAGCTAGCAGGAACTTGATGCTATTGTGACATAAAGCTATCTACATCAGTGTGCAACATTCAGACATATTCTCAAAGTTGTGACTTCCATATCTTGAAACTATTGTCTCGTATTTACATTTTTATCTCATTATTATCTATAATAACCTGATGGGCTGAGTATCGAATCATTGGTAATTTTATAATAATTCAATAAAAAAATAAAGTGAGTCAAAGTAGTTTTGTCATGATTATGAGATACATAAGAGAAAACATTTCTAATACTTAGAAGATAATTATGAAATACAAATCTTGTAATAAGTGTGCAAGATTCTTTGGTTTCTTCACGATCGGCATCTTGTAACTTATGATAAACTTTCATCTCATATCTATACTTTTATCACATAATTGTCTGGTAAAGCTCTCATCACAAGATACAAATTTTACTTGATGATCTTGGTACTAAAACATCATTATAAAGATTGAAACTGCAGGATACTTTGGTTATCTTAAGATCCACATCCGAGATACTAAAGTCATACTTACAAGAAATCATTACATAACATAATAATTTACAAGATAATTATGAGATAAAAATCTTGTAGTTATGACATACGGCTCTTGTTATTATGAGATAAATATAATAAATGACAGGACTCTCAGATAATAACAGAGAGAAAACAGCTCAATTTATTTTCTCTGGTGAATCTTCTGGAGATTTTTTTTTTTTTCATGGATTATATTTACCTACTCTTTGCTGCAGTGACTATTTATGCTCTTAATCCACTCCATTTCAAACTCCACTGCTCTACATCTTTGTTTACCTTCAACAACTCTCAATGGACTCAAGGCCTTTTTGATTTGAACAGGTGCGAGTTATTAGTACAGTGGTGAGCTTCGAAGAAACCACCCAGCTTCATCCAGACTAACCAGAGAGCCGTACACGCAAAGGAGCGAAGCATAAACAAATCATTGGATAGAATCAGCAATGGAGGAGGCTTCCCTCCATTATCGCTACAAAGTGGATTAAGGTTCTTGAAGTGAGAAATGTTTGAGGAGACATTTGTTTTATTCCAATACGACTGATTGGAAAACACACCCAAGATGCCTCTGCCTGATCATGCAGCACAGAGATAATGAACCTGCTTTGGTACACAGTGTGTTGACATGTTGACTAACGCTAAGCTGCAATAAAACAAGAACATAAAGCAGGGTGACAGCCAGCGGGGTTCTTCCACAGGCGACTCACACTGCAGCGCCATGCAACTCTGTTTTCTTATTCAACAGAGGTTGTTTTAGACAGTGCACACATTTTTATGGTTCGTCTCCTTAGCAACACCATGGAGTAACCAGTCCCACGTGTCTGTGCGTGTGTGATGATCTGTGGTTTAAACATAATAGCTACACCATTTGTGCGTCATAATGAGTCACACAAATGATAGCATGGTGTAGCAGAGCTGCAGAGAGAGAAACATTACTTAACTTCCTCATGCATGCAACAGGAAAAGGCTTTGAATCAAGCCAAATGGAAGAAGCTGCCATAACTCCTGGAGTACTCCATTCATACCAAGCACCCTCTCGAGCACCCTTCCTAAGCACCCTCCCATGTGCCCTGGCTGACTGGAAGCAGGGCGGCTGCTGACAGTGAGTGCAGGGAGAAGGAGGCAGGCAGGGCTGCTGGCTATGACGATGTGCATGGAGATGCAGATGTGAATGTGGCAGCAGCAAGCGATGGTGGGTCGGGGGAGGGGTGGCGGTAATGCCAGCGTGGTAGAGCTGGGTGGCTCATGTCGGAGCGGGGGTGCTGCTAAGTCACCCTGTTCTGGCACTGGACGCCTCTCAATATTTCTACTTGGGGCTTTAAATTAAAGGTTCGGATGTTTTCAAGCCTATCACACCTCATCAGTCTCATGATGCTCTAATCCCAGATCGCTTCCTCTGTAAGTGGGTGACCAATCCAACGCTTGGTGAATTCTGCTTCACAATTATAGGAAAAGCCAACACTGGAGAATCAAAAACCGGCATCGTTTAAGCTAGATATCTCCCTGGTGACTATTGTGACAACTCCTGCTTCAAACCCAATCAGTGAGAAGAATCATGAGGCCCAGATTTCACCGTCTGTATTAATTGCTGAAAATCAAGATCAAGCGAGCTTGTGCTCTTCTGCTCCACGGGAGGTTTCTGTCCTCCCTGATCTCGCCTTGGGACACCGGTGTTCTCATTTGACAAGCAACAACTCCGCACCTGTTGTAGCGCGACTCCATTGTACAGTAAGAAACGGGGGACAAAATCCACTGTCCTCGCTCTGTGCAAAAAAGCATTTTTTAAAATTGAGTCAGGGTTGATGTGAGGCTTCAGCAGTCTGAGTATAACAGATTAAGTCACACATCTTGGAAAGCGCACACATTTGGTCAACTAAAATGATTAAGCCTCATATTAGCTTTGTCTGATATTAAAATTAGCATTGCACTCCTGTAACATAACCAGACTTGCCATAAAAAAGTAAAAAAAAAACAAGAGAGAGAGATTAAAATCAATGCAACAGATGAGATCCCTCGTCTTTTCTATTCCATGCATTCTTCCTCCTTGTCAAAACCTGGCGCCTACATTACCAACAAAGCAACTCAACCTCAACCTTAAGCTAGTGGCTAATGTAGCCTCGAGCTGCTCGCCTGAAGCAGAGATGAGGAGCTGCAGTGATCTGGTAATCTCCCTTCTTTTTTAACTCCACACCAACACATTTTAAAACTTGGAGTCTTCAGCACCAAGCAAGCTTATCGGACTTCACACAGCTCCCTCTGGAGACACTAAAGTCTTTATACAACACCTGCATTTTCTCCCCTATTTCTCTCAACATATTACTGGCATATACATATTGTATACAGATAGACTTGAAAGAATCCGAACCTATCCTAAAAGCTATGTTTGCCTACAACTTAATGAGATTCACATTGACAGGCATGGCTGTGGATAGTGTGTGTCCTGCTACAGATGGACGGCGCTGCCACTGTCTTTAATTAGAGCTGTGTTTTTGCACACAGTTTTGACCGAGGATCTTATTTAGTTTACTTTGGCCTTAAATGCTGTACTAATGACTGCACACTTAGGCCATTACCATTACCTACCAAACCTAAATGAAGTCTCACATTTACAAATACACCAGTGGGTTTACTCGTGGCTGTCTGTTATTTGACAGGATTTTGCAGACCAAAGAATTTTGTCTATTGCTGTTTTAAAGCAATGAAGCCATTAGTTGCATTATTGTCTTGTCTCCGTGATATTGCTTGGACAATCTGAAGGGTTGCTTTTGAGGTTGGATGCATAACAATGTTCTTATGCAAGATTTTAAAAGAAGATCCTGTTTGCATAATCTAAAGTATTGACTTTTTCCTCATCATCGCTAACTGTCATACTGGCTGACAGGCCTTCCCTTAATTATTGATATATTGTCATTTCTCTTTGTGCAAAAGAACCAAGCAGCCACAGAAAGAAAACCTCTTAATGTACTGAGGGATGTCCCCTTTAAACAGCAGAAAAGGCCACAAGAAGTCCATCCCTTGAACTTACCTGGAAGTCTGTAACCAGGTCTCTTCCAAAGGTGCCAATGGGAGAGTCACGGGACATGGAGGTGACTGTGGACAGGAAGCTGCTGGACTCTGTGAGGTTTGGCATGGGTGACAGATCGTCTGTCCTTTCTCTCAGCCCCTCCCCCACATGGTCCAGCTTCTCCATGAAGATGTGCAGCTCAGTGCGGAAAGCCTTCATGCGAGTGTTGATGGTGTCCAGGACTTGGGTGTCTGGTTTGGATCCAGACGACTCCCCTCCTTCCAGGATCTCTCCCGTCGTCACCAGCAGCCTGCCCTCAAAGATCAGACTGTCTGTGTCCGTGATCAGACGGTCCACCGTCTTCCCGAGCCTATCCGCCTCGCGTTTCACGTTGGAGAATGACTCACGTTCTTCTCTCCTGCGGTTGGCCAGTTCAGTGGCGCTGAGCTCACTGCCATCTGACGGTTTGATGCTTCCGAACCCTGAGGTGGTTGCGGTTTTCTCAAACAGGTCTTCGGAGTCACTCTCGCCCCCGATGGGCCCTTCTCTCTTGGGGTGGAGGAGAAGAAGACGCCCTGCCTCCTCTTCCTCAGCTGCTTCTCGCCGGCCTGCATCACTCTCTGCGTCGCTGTCTCGAGGGCTGCCGGTGCGCAGGCCCAGGTGTGCAGCCAGGTCACAGCGCTGGACATTGGACACGAGGACTCGGTTCTCGTACTGCAGCTTCATCACCTTTCCACTCAGCTCATTGATCTGCATCCTAGCTGATTTAAGCTCCTCCATCATCAACCCACCGCTGGAGCTGTTGCCGTTCCCCCCATTACCAGGTTTAAACAGGCCTCCCTCACTGCCCTCCTCGCCAACAGAGCTGCTGCTGGGGCCGAACTTGAAGCGATTGAGTTCAGATGTCAGCTGCCGGTTGTGGTCCTCAATCTCTGAGATGGAGCGGCGCAGCAGCTCAGCCTCCTCCTCCACAAATTGCAGATGGCGACGTAGCTCACTTGCCGAATCCAGCGCGTCACCGCCGTAAGGCGACGAGGGCATGCTGGAGAATGGTTCCCGCCCAAAGCAGTCTCTTTCATACTGACAGCGAACGTCTTCGTTTTCCGCCCGCAGGCTGCGGTTCTCCACTTCCAGCTCCACAATCTTCCTGCCCAGGATGTTAGCCTCCTCCTCCACCAGCTTGAGTCGTAATCTCAGCTCAGCCTCCCGAGTGGTGTGAGGACCCCCACCCGAGCACTCGGCCAGAGCAAGGGGACTGTCCACGTCCCCGTAAACTGACTTGTACTTCTGCAGCTCCTGCTCCAGTTCGTCTTTCTCCCGACCCAGCTTCGCCATCTTTTTTCTCATTAGGCCGGACTCCTCTTTGGAAAACTGGAGCTGGCACCTGAGGTCTGCACTGTCCTCCTAGCAAGGTGATAGGGATGAGGATGTCACAATTAAAAACTTGAAGGGATAAAGTTGGTCATATTTTATAACTTTTTCATTGTTAACAAACAGCTGGGCACTGTACAGGAGTAAATGGTGCGTTTGTTGGGGACTATTTTCAGCGGTGGATTAATCTGACAAATTTACAGCAGCAGGACAGCGTATGCGAGATTGTGTCAACATAAACCATAGTTTCCTTAGTAATGAAGGGACATGTAACCCAGTGCAACAGTGTGGTGTATACAGTATATATATATATATATATATATATATATACTGTAGAGGTTTGGCTACACAGCCAGTACTTATTATTATTGTTTTCAGGGGATTTGTTGACACTAAGAAAAATATAGAATATCAACAAGCTTATCCTTTTATGCCTATAGCATACAATATTTCATGATAGGGAATTCCGAGGGAATTCAATGAATAATGTTTTTAGAATTGATTTTTACCTGACTCGTGGATTTCTTGTCTTTAAATGTTTCCCTGCTTCCTCGTCTCCTCAGTGCAGTCTGTAAAACGACAAGGAAGAAGGATGTAAGACATGTAATCATGTATAACATTATTGAAATATTCTCCAGCATTCAGTGGTGCTGCTAGAGGGAAACAGAAAGTTATATAAACCAACACACGGCACACCTATGAAAGCAATAAATGAGGATTTGTGAATCCAATAGTGAGCATCTCTGCAGTTTTAGGATCCTATTGAGATTTCCATAAATCACAATGCCAGCGTTTATACAGACATGCGCAATAACTCTCAATCACAGTAATGATGATGGTACCGCATAACACCAATGCATCGGAACAAATATATTTGACAGCATTTGCACCAACTCCCCGAATATGAAGCAGACTCTGCAAAAGGCCAGAAGAACATTAATCTACGGGGATTTCTTACATAACATTTCCAGCATCAGGTCAAAGCTAAGTCTAAGTCTATTTACTCTAATACAGACTGAAGATCACATGACATAATTACTGTCCGACTCATGCATGTAGTAATGGTAATAGCCGATATCACAGGCCAACATCTGGTTACCATGTCAGTCTTACAGCGAGTGGAGGGGCAGAGTGGATGAACACTATGAGTGATTTACATGTTGAATTGTAAATTGTCAGCCAGACAATTCTGCTCAGCCTTAAGACCATGTTTTGTCGTGTATTTCTTTTTTTTTTGTGTATGTATGATGCACCAGGGTGCTTTAGATCCCATTCAGAGCTCAGTGTGACAGACGTCTTATCCCGGCTCAGATTCAGTGACACATGGTGCTTCTACAACGCTCTGGGGGGAAAGCATCTGCCTGTCCAGTGGGGAAGTCTGTCCTGTAGCTAATACTGCACTAGGCACCGCACGCAAAGCCCGGATAAAACAGGGTCCTCTGCACACCGGCTTAGTCTTAGCGACTAATAAAATCATTCAATTTGATCAAGTCTGCGCACTTTCTCTCACCATCGGCTGCGGTTTCACAAGACAGCGGCAAGATGAGAGAAAGGAAAGGAGAGAGGAATTGAAGAGAGGAGAGAGAGGGAGAGGGAGAGATCCCCCTCTCCAAATGCAGACTGTAGAGCTTTCAAGTGTGAACCTTTTTCCAGGAACAGATTGCTGCCCTGTCGGAGTTATTTAAAGGTCCTGACGATCAGTTAAGCCAGGCTCTTCTGTAGGGGGCATGACTTGACATTAATATTTTCTAATCTCAGGGTCACAATCATATTTCAATGTACTAATCAATATCATGCTCATTTTCAGGCTCTCTCACTTTGGGTTTCTATTAGAACATGTTTACATGTGTAAATATTCAAAAACGCATTATTTTTCTCCTACTGTTTGTCTGAATATACCTGTATTCACCCTCCGTCAGAAACGCTCCATTTTAGCGACTGTCTCTTTAAGCCCCACCTCACAAAAAAGCCCAGTCTGCTCTGATTGTCTTGTGAGAAAAATATAGTGCACCTCTGCAAAGGTAGTTCTCAATCCGTGGGGGGAGATACTCAGATGGGGGTCGGTATATTATAATGAGGCTACATGTGAAATAGGAAGAGGAGCCAAATCTGAAGGTGTTGTTGAATCACGTTTTCTAATCTAGGAAGTCCACGAAAAAAAAAAATGACTGGGTTGTCTCTTCTCACAGTTTGTGGGTTGGTAGAAAAAGTGAGTTTTTCATGATTTGTCCCCTTTGAGACGACAGTAAAAAAAAAAAGAAGAAAAACAAGTGAGACAAGGTGACGTCTTCAAAAGTATTGTTTTGTGTGTGTTTTACCACTTGATGATTAAGTATTTTAAATAGAACTGAATTTTACCCAATTAAAAGCTCAGTGAACAGAATATTGTTCATCAGCTTTTCAGCTGCTGCTGTCTAAAGATACAATGGTCTTCTTCTACTTCTCTCTCATTTTTAGGCCTTGTACAAAGCAAACCATTCGCTCTGTTGCCAGCCAAAATAGACCAGTAGGACAGTGTGAATCATCCATGGCCAGACGGCTGGAAAGTGTGAGGGTGAACCTGTTTTGCCCGGAGCAGGGACAGACCTTGACTCAGTCGCTGGATCTGCGACAGAAAGGGAGCGCCCACTTAGAAACAGCACCAAAACATGGACATAACCATATGGTGGAAGGCCATCGCTACAGAAAGAGATATGTGTCTTCTAAAACCCAGTTCTGTGACACATTTTACCTTCCTGAAGCACTGAAGGCAGCTTTCTTTTGCTGCTCAAAACAAGTTCTCTGCTTGGGAGAGTTTTCTGATCAATATTTTCTAATTTGTCTTTCAGCAACATGTTACTGTTGAAAACACAGAAGAGGGTCAAGCTTCCCTCTTGTTGGCATCACTTTAAGAGTTTCTGGGTCCGATCCAAACTCAACTTCTGTGCTGGTTTATTCAAAGGCAGCAACTCACTGTGAGCTGAATGCAGAAAGGCTGATAGCACATGCCTTTTTTTTTGGGGTAACACTTGGCTCGCAACAATTACATGATGTGTTCGACATGTTGTTAGATCGCATCATGGCACCAACTCTCTGATTTTTAACTTTCAAAAGGAAAATAAGCAGATTTGTTTATTACCATATTTAACTTGTAACTTTGCCAAACAGTTACATGTCAGAATGAATGAAATGGGAGTGATGACACGTTGTTATTGTGTACCTCATGGCAAGCACCAATGCACGGATTAGTTCATATCACCCTCTTCAGCCTCGTGAATCATCTCCAAGACTAGAATTGTTCTGTTTTTTTGATGACGACAGACCGTAATTCACACTTTACTCCAGTTATTTATTTGACGGCTACATTAAACGTGTGAATCCTCACCCGTCCGTCCCGGCTCGCTCCCCTCCCCCCCCCCCCCCCCCCCCTTCTGGTCCAGTCTCAGCTTTGTGTCTGTGTCAGTATCTCCAACACCAGTCGTGGTTTAATTCCCAGCCCTGGTGACAAAGCTAATCTCTCAGGGGAGACAGCGGATTAGACGACATCTTGTGCAAAGCTCCTCACAACCCCAGACTGCCACAAGGCAGGGATCCCTGTTTACTGTGTACAGAAGTCAATCTGAGGCTCAGAACTGTGAGATCAGAGAATACATAACACTAATCAAATACTTTGTCTGAGACAATTACCTACCTGTCAGTTAAAATAGTATCAAAGCTACAATTTCACGAGATGTAATGTGATAAATTCTTTGAAGAATGACAGAGCTCATAAAAGCTACCTTCTTAATGTTTTGTTATTAATTACGTCTGCTGTCGACCCTTTTTGTTGTTTTTAGAAAACATTCAGGGAGACACACAGAATCCTTGAATATGTTTGAAAGCAGAACACAACCTCACGACTGAAGCTGCTTGTACGACGAGTATATCATGTTCTCTCCTAATGAGCATTAGTTTATCTATAGCTGGAGCATCTGTTATAGATACAGTTAGACACTTCGATTGGACATGTTACTTTATCAGCAAGCTGCTACAACCGTCAGCAATGCTTCTGGGAAATAATATAAATGCACGCTAGAGCGAGCAGATTTGAGTTTTAGAAGAGAAACCCACTCATACATCCACAGTCCTAATCACAGGGTATTATCAATAAGATTAGCATTTCACAAAGTGGGGTCACATAAACAATGAAATATGAGATACAGAAGTGTAACAGAGAGGTTGTAGGTGCAAGGAGGACAGGTTTAATCCGTCTAACAGATGGTGTATCTCTCCATACTGAAGGGCTTTAAAGCTAAACACTAAACCTCAGCCTCCTCCTCAGTCGACTCTCTGACATTGGTTTTTGACGCCTATTGTATGGTTATTATTCCTTCCTTTTTCTTCAATGCCCTTAAAAGAGAACTCCACAGATTGAGCATCACACTCCTATAACACTGTAAGACTCAGTAAAAAAGGTACAGCTGGAAAAAAAAAAATCGAATCACATCACCAACAACGCAACTTGACCGCCGACAGCTCAGTCAGAGATTCGGGTGTGTTATGTTAGTAGCAGCTAATGTAGCCTTGAGTTGCTAATCTCAAGCGGAGAAGAGGAGCGGGCTCAGGCACAACTCACCAAAAGCAACAGACTTTTTAAAATTCATTTTCAAACTTCTTCAAAGTCCTCACCACCAACTGACGCTGACTGAAGTGACATCACTTGAGGACATTCATCAGATTTTGTGAACATTATTTTTTTCACATATGCATTAGTACTCCCCAAAGACCTGTAAACAGACTTTGACGGGTAAAATCAGAGCAGTTCACAGGAATCAATATCACAATACTGACAAGGATATTTTTCAACATCTATATTTATCCAAATATAGTAAATGTATGCATAATAAAACTAATCAAACTAATGTACAATTGAATAAACTGCAGTTAACTAATACATTGCATCACATACATTTCACTTTAGATAATTCATTTGAATACAAGACATGTGATAACATTGAGTTGTTGTGAAGTGCTGAATCGATTTGTCAATCTTTTTTTTTTTTAAATATTGATGTTTAACTGATTGGGCAAAATGTCAAATATCTATTCTCTATAATTAAGAACTGATCTGCAACACACACGGACACACCTTTCACTGTTCTTTGTGTGACTGTATTTCTTCCACTTTAACGCACAATTGCACTCACGCACACCAAAGAAAGCACACAGGCATCTCTCTTCATCCCAGTGCACTGTTAGCACGGGTTACTGGCAGTCAGTCATGCAGGTTTAGCAAGCGGCTCAAGCTGGTGTGGGAGCTGGCTGTTGTACTGGTGCAGCTGGTTTTACTCCCCTGGGTCTCTGCCAGCCTGCAGGATTAGTGGATCGTAGTTACACAGTCGTTACCCTGCTGGGACTGAATGAACCGGGCGCTGTGGGCCCTGACTGACTGACTGACTGTATTTCGCTGGCCCTCTCCTGTGACTCCTTTCTGGAATCCCTTTCTACTTGGTCCCCTCCTCGTTCACTCCCTCCTCCCTTTCTTCTCTCCTCCAATCCCTCACATCTTCATCATTATGTGACCCGTGACGGACATCTGAAATGTAGGGAG